GTATATACATAAGTGCAGCCAAAGAACTGGGTCAGCCTCCCACCAGGCTGCCCCAAATAAAGCAGAGCGAGGAAATGAGCTGTTCACTCTTTTCCTTGGGGAGGGGGCAGGGCGCTCTGCACTTTTAGAAGAGACTCATCATTGGGCACCTGGGTGGCTCAGCTGGTTGAGCATCTGCCTTTGGCTCAGGTTATGATCCCAGGGTCCTGGGATCGAGCCCCGAGTCAGGCTCCCTGCTTGGCGGAGAGCTTGCTTCTCCCTCTCCCTCTCCCTCTGCCTGCCTCTCTGCCTACTTGTGTATGCTTGCTCACTCTCTCTCTCCCTGTGTCAAATAAATAAATAAAATCTTTTTTTAAAAAAATAAGAAAATAGAAGAGACACATCAGTCCAGATCCACAGAACCATCCCAAAGCTCTGGGAATCATGTTGTTTCCTAAATATTATGCATAAGGTTTGGGTCAGTCCCAGGTCTCTCTGGGTCCAATCAGTATTTCAGAGCTTCAAGGAACCAAAACGGTGAGGACACTTAAACATCCTCTAGCCTGCACATAGAGAAGCTGTCCCTGGGACCATCTGGTGATACTACGCCTTGTACTTTAATATTCTGGCCATTTTTTTAAATAGGACATATGACCCTCACTTTCAAAACTTCTCTTTGCTTTCATGTATTTCGAGATCTAATGGAAGGACGCTTCACTACAAATTCATGAGAAGGGCTGGCAAAATCTTGTTGCCATTCCCTCCTGGGCACGTCAGCCTAAAGGACGTTCAGAAAGGCACTTAGCACAAGGGGAAACTAAGATGGTGGACAAGGAGAGGGCTCTAGCACGTGACTTGATGTCCAGAATGAGCAGAGAGAGCAGTCAGTCCTTCCCAGAGAGAGAAAACCACAGGCTCTGAGATATTCTGGAGCCAAACAATGTAATGGCAGGTTTAGACAATTAGAAGAAGAGGAGACAGAGGGGCGCCTGGGTGGCTCAGTTGGTAAAGCACCTGCCTTGGACTCAAGTCATGATCCCAGGGTCTTGGGATTAAGTCCCAGGTGGGGCTCCCTGCTTAGCAGGGAGTCTGCTTCTCCCTCTCCCTCTGCTGCTCCCCCTGTTTGTGCTCTCTCACTTGCACTCTCTCTACCAAACAAATAAATAAAATCTTCTAAAAATGTTTAAAAAAAAATAGGAGATGGGAATGGGCCTCAACAGGAAGATGGCAGACAGCAAAGCAAAGACAGCAAAGTGTAGGTTACAGAGCACCACTGTGGGACAGCCTGACTTAGCTAGTGCATTAATTTTCTCCCAAACATGCTGCCCCAAGGAATTCCCCCTTGGAGAGAGAGAGAGAGAGAGAGAGAGAGAGAGAGCGAGCGTTTTCTTAGTTAAGTTAAAAATCATTTGTGTTCAATACGTTTCCTCCTGAATTCTGATACAGTTGAAGAATATGTGTTCATGGCATCATTATCACTGCCGTGCCTATGGAGCTGGCCAGCTTTGGTCTAGTCCGAGATTTTACTTCATTAGCAAGGTGTGCGTGTGCAAGTGCGTGTGCACACATGTGAGCGTGCACTTCTCCCCTTACTCTCTCTGATCTTCATTCCAGTGGCACAGGACAAGCAAGAAAACCCACTGATGAACCATTCTGGTATATGCTGCATTTCCTTCCGAAACCAGGAGTTAAAACAACATCTGTGAATTTGATTAGCTGTGCTTTGCCCCACAGGCTCACAACAACCAAAGCCGGTTGCATTTCTCTGCCTCCTCTCTATGTAAGTGACCACAGCCCTCTTGAACCAGCAGGCCCCTCTACTGACCAACGTGGAATGGGGCCCAGGTGTGAACTTCAGTTGGCAAGAAGTCCCGCTCTCCTGCCCACCGTCTAACTCTGCCCCCCAAAGATGGACGCCCTGAGCTTTGCCTCCAATACAAACCGTCCCATCATGGACTTTGCTCACAGGGCTCATTTTGTCATGTTTATCTTATTGGTATTTTCTCCAAGTTTCCCGTATCATCCTCAAAACCCGAAACTCCAAACTGGAATGCCGAGTCCAGCACAGATCACCACACAGCCTGGTGCGGGATCACCTCCCTCCCGGGCTCTAGTTTCTATGGGGATCTTCTCTCCCCTGTGGACACTGGCCTTCCGGCTGCGGTCCCCGCGCACATCGCCTGTCCTTGCCAGCCTGCAGAGCAGCTGCTGACTCATGCTTACTTTGGGATCTCCTGGGACCCCAGGACAGCCACCACCCAGCACGTGGAGGGCCCTGCCCGCCAGCTTCTGGGGTCTCCGCCCCCCAGGCCCGGCCCACCTGGAAGACGTCGTTGGCACACTTGCGGCACAGGTTGTGCTGGCAGGGCAGGATCACCACCGGTTTGGAGAACATCTCCAGGCAGATGGGACAGATGAGCTGCTTCTCCAGGTTGTCCATGCTGTGTGCATCCCCTAGCAGCGGCTTGAAACCCACTGTGAAGTTCATCCCCTCAGTGATCGTGCCTGCCCTGACCTTGGCCCCGGTCCTGGCCTTCCCTGACTGCCTCTGGACCCTTCCTCGTTGACTTTAGACAGTCCGTGGGTTCTTATATTCCCTTCTACTGCTCGCTCTTGAAATAGCTCTGCTTGCTCTCCTGTCCCTTCCTCCAACAATTCCCCTCGTCCTCAGATGGCTGTTGTCAGACACTTCTCTGTCTTTATCTACTCTTTGCTCTGTACCCCAGCCAGGCACATGTAGCGCGAGCTTTCTCTGTCCCTCCCTCCCTGAATGACTCGTCCCCCAAAATTCCTCCTTTTGTTCTCCAAGTGACTCTTGTTCACTCTATGGGCAGCACTGTTTGTCCCTTGCTTCCCAGAGAGGAGATTAATTTTAACGTGGGGGTGGGGAACAAGGGGCATCTGCATGACATTCCAACTCCCGATTTAGCTCATGTAAGGCGAGCCACAGCTGTCACTGAGTGAGTGACCCTGACTCACTCAGGAATGAGTGACTGCCTTACACAAGGGCAGGGGTGAGCTTCGCTGCTCATGGTGAAAGGTGGGTCTCCGAAGGTGTCCAGCTCTCAGGCTCAGAAGGCTCCTATGGCCCCTGAGCCCCATAAGCATGGGCTCTTCTTCCAGGCAGAACCTACACTGGCCTGGATGGGGGTGCCTGACATGGCTCAGGGTGGCAGGAAAGACCTCACCAGACCCAGAGCCTAGTCAGTGCCTCCAAGGCTTAGCCAGTGACCCTCACCCTCTTCCGCTGAACCCTGGGATTCAGAACAGGGACACCAGAGATTAGTGGGAAAGGCTCTGGTCCAACACTTCTGGTCCATTTCTGTTCTAGCCCAGAACTTTCTTCTATCATCCTAGGAAAAGAAACTAAGGACGCTAGAGCTGGCAGTTGCACCAGGGCCTGGAACGACCTCATGAGCATGCCTCTGAGAAAGTGTGGGAATTTGGTCCATGAACACATCACTGGAGCCACTCCAAAGACTTTAAATTTGTTAGGAAATCGAGAGAAGTTGAGCTGAGCAGAAAGGACCTGAGTGCCAGAAACCTATTTTGGGCACCAGGGGAATTGGTCTCCAGGGAAATTTTAGAGCATTGACAAAGTCGTAATCACAAGGCTCCAGGAGGCCTTTGTCTTCACTCCACGGTTGTCCTGGACCCCTGCTGGACCCCTCCTGGACTCCTGGACGACTCCTCTCCAAGACAGCCTGGTCTCAGACGTGAGCACCGGCCCTCTGTCTTTTTCTCTTGTGGGCTTTTCCCTCTACCCCAGGCAGGATTCATGTTTTTGGCGCCCAACAGGTGCATGGGGTTGGACAAAAGCTCTTTTATTTATTGACATTCCTTAGCCCTTCTCCCAGTGGTGAGAGAGAAATTTGAGGAGTTACTTGGCTCTGACCTTGGATGGATGGGAAATAAACGGTGTGGAGAGGATAAAACGGGCAGGGTGAAGAGGCACGAGAATGGGGAGAGGGTCTGTAGAAGTATTAGCTTTTCCCTATCATCTGTTTCATGCCCCTGTTTTCAGAACAAAATATATGGTGATCAGCTTGCATAAGATGTGGAGAAAAGGATGGAGGCAAGCAGGCACTGAGAGATGAACTTCAGTCAGCCCAGGACCCATGCTAAGGGGCGGCCGTGTTGGGGTGCAGTCTGGAGAGAAGCCAGAGGTGGGGTAGCTACCCCTACCCCTCCAATGCATTCATACTTTGCCCAAGTTTACTCATGGTGGCACAGAATGAGACTGACAATGTCAACTGCTTGGGCAGCAGAGAAAGAGACCAGCCACAGAAAAGCGTGTTGGTGAAGGAATGAGGCTGACGCTAAGTTCTTGGTGCAGTGTTCCGGCAAAGGAGGGTTAGCTGGTACAGCAGCTCGGGGATAGGATCTACTCTGCTCAGTTATCAGGATCTTGGTGGAGACTATGAAAGTGGCTCAGGGCCCTTACCAGTTGAAATTGGCCCAAATCTCAAGGCACAGGAAAAAGAATGCTCGGGAAAAGTCTGTCACCACGGCCTGAGACCTCATAAGGGTAGAGATGGGAAGGCTGCTGTCTAAACAGATTAAAATTGGGACTGGAGCTAAAAAGAAGAGAAGGTGGGTGACCCTGTATTGCCAGGGTCAATGATACCATCAAGGACAGAGGGGGCATCCTCACTGGGATAGATGCCATCAAGGCTTCTGAAGTTGGGATTTTTATAAGAAGAGGGGCAAATCAGGGTCAATGTCAGGACACGGCTACTTGCTCCCCTCTTCAACATATTCCAGTGTGTTGGGCAGCAGAAGGTACCCTCGCTGGGTCAGCACCTGGGGGCAAAAGAGGTTGACATCTTATTAAGCAGAAGGAATAATGACCCAGAATTTAAAGCAAGGCCCCTGCAGGTAAGGATATAAACACCTGAAATCCAAAGTCTAAGATACAAACTTTCTACTAATGACTCACTGGAAGTTAGTGTGTGTTCTTTTCTTATCCTTTGATTATTACTGCATTTTAGCTTTCATATATACTCACTCCTCTTCTTCTTTTAGAAATCATCTTCATTATCATCTTGACCTCTTCTAAAGTTTCTTTTGTTTCCTATGATGAAATTTGAAAAACACATATACAAATATTTAGTAACAATTTTTAGTCCCGTGGTCAGAAACCTGTTACCTTGCAGTTACATGTCAGTATCACTAGGTGGCACTATGGTGAACTTCAGTCAAAGCACACTTTCAGGGCCTGGGGTGGGGATGATCAGACAGTTTCCTTTAGAGTAAAGGCAGTAAACTTCATCATCTATCTTGTCTTCAACGACTCCCTTTTCAAGGTACTCTCTCACCCATTCTTTTTTTTTTTTTTTTTTTTGGTTTTATTTATTTATTTGACACAGAGAGAGAGAGAGAGATCACAAGTAGACAGAGAGGCAGGCAGAGAGAGGAGGAAGCAGGCTCACCGCTGAGCAGAGAGCCGGATGCGGGGCTCGATCCCAGGACCCTGAGTTCACAACCTGAGCCAAAGGCAGAGGCTTAACCCACTGAGCCACCCAGGCACACAACCCCCACCCCAACTCCTTAGCTTAATAGTCACGAGAGGCCGATATAACATTCCAACTGTCAGCTGGTGGCCTAAGTCCCTCAGAAACCAAGTGTATCCTCTTCTCTTTCTTCACTTTGCCTCAATACCGACCTGAGACTCCCATATTTAGGGTTCAGAGTTTCACCCCCAACTATTTCATTCCTTCCTAACCAGCTCTTACCTCAGGCCCTGTCTATGGCTCTCACCTGCCCTCGGAGGCTGATTCTGGACATTCTGCTGGTATCTTCTGGCAACCTCCTCAGATGGCGGCTTAAGCATTCCACAGCAAAAGCAGCAGCAGCAGCAGCAACAGCAGCAGGTGAGCAGGGCACACAGGAGGACCAGTGTCTGAAAGGTAAGAAAGCATGGCCTCAACCCAGCATTTCTTCTGTAGTTCCATTCCAGCTCCTCTCCCTCAACCCCCCTGGCACCCAGAAAATGAGACAACAGAAGCCTCTGTCCTGGGAGAGAAGGGTCAGCTCTCCAAGAAGAGGTAGGTCATCCCTCCTTCCTTCCTTTTTTTTTTTTTTTAAAGATTTTATTTATTTATTTGAGAGAGAGCGGGAGAAGTAGACTCCCCACTGAACAGGGAGCCTGACACAGGCCTCGATCTCAGGAACCTGGGATCAGGACCTGAGCCAAAAGCAGACGTTTAACCAACTGAGCCACCCAGGCGCCCCACGCCACCCCCACTTCCTTATTCTTAAAGGGCTAGGAAGAACTGTATACCTTGAACCAGCAACTATTCATCGTAAAATAGTATGTGACACCTTCTTCACCAAAGTGATCGTATATGTATATTCCCAACGAGCCATGCCGGTCATAGATTTTCCGCTTCTTAGGGTCACTCAGTATGGAGTGGGCTGTGTTGATCTCTTTGAATATTTCTGCTGCTTGAGCATCCCCTGGATTCTTGTCTGGATGATACTTTAAGGCCAGTTTCCTGCCCAGGCAATACCCAAAAGGAGGGTGAGGGGAGGATGGTTGGAAAATGGCTGGGAGAGGAGGGTAGGATGAATGACAGGGATAGGTCTCTAGATGTGAAGAAGCAATGCATGAGTGCAAAGAATGGAGGCAAACAGCCCAAGTCTAAATTCCTTGCCATGCCACAATGAAAAGGGTGATGACTCCATCCCACCCAAAGTGAAGGTTTGAGGATTTAAAAGCCGTCATAAAGCAGGGTTTAAGTGGCAGTGGGGGGCAAATTCCAGGGTTTAATAAAAGGCCGGGTCTGAACCTGTAAGCCTTTTTGATGTCTTCAGGTGAGGCACCTTTCTTAAGCTCCAGCACGGCATAGAGGGTTGTCCCACTTTTGGACAGCTGGCGGGCTGCTTCATCCAAATGAGCCATGATCTGGGTCAGAGGAGAAGAAGCATTTGTGAGAACGTCCACAGGCCATGGAGAAGTGAACTTCTGGTAAGGAAACTCATCGCCTTCAGGCGCTAGGCAGGCAAAGCTAGTACTAAGGGACAAGGACAAGACAACAGTGAGTGGGCTCTGTGACTAGCAAGAGAGTGCAGGTGACCAGAAATGACCAGAGAAAACATCTCCTCACATTTCCCAGCGTCCTTCAGCTACACAGCCCTCCAGACACCCACGTCGTGGAGAGGTGTAAGCAAGGGGAGATCTAAACCATGGGAAGAGGGTGATTTTGTCTGAAACTCCTGGTACCTTAGGCGAACAGCCCTGGGCCTGTCCAAGCTCACTGCTGGGTTGTTAAGATCAGGGCAGCCTAGTCCTTGATTAGGCTGGGTCAGGATCCCTGGGCATGCACAGTTCCCACGGGAGAAACAGTTCAGACCAAACCCTGAGCGAAGAGAAGTCCGGTGTCCCAAAGCCAGGCCGGAGGGCCGCGCTGCAGGGAGGCCAGGGACGTTCTTCTCCCTAGCCTCCCCTCTCAAACCTCGGAGACCGGGCAGCGGGGAGAACATCAAGGGATGAAGACGGAAGCGAAAGGGGTAGCTGTGGGGGCCGACCGGCCAGAGACCAAGGAGCAGGACCCTAGACAGTGGAAGAGACCTTGCGAAGAAGTGGCCCATGAGAGCCAAGGCTACATGCTCAGAAGGGAATGCTCTGGTTCCCACATGCCCTCTGTGGGCTCCCTGCTTGGCCTGGTGCTCTACCTCTCCTCATCTCAGAGGAGACGCCCTCCTCACCTGGGGAAGCCTCACACAACCTCCATCTGGGTGTGAAATTTCACACCGCCAGGGTCCAGTGGCCAACAGCGCTTAGAGTGCTGCGCCAACACTCCCGGTCGCTTTTTGGCGCTGCCAAAAAACCTGGGAGGTGAGGCTACGTGGGCCCTGGGATTTATTTCGCTCCTGAGTGTAGGGATCAGCCTTGCGCCAGCGGCCCATGCTACGTGCTACGCTACGTTGCCAGCTCTTCCGGTGGGCGTGGCCTAGGACGGGGTGGGGGTTGTCCCTTTTCCTGTGGGAGAGGATCACCAGCCTTCGTCACCCGCGAGGCTCATCCACTCACCTAAGGAAACATATTGGGCTTGCACGCCGGGGTTGTATGAGAGGTATGGCTCCTGCAAAGCCTTTCTCCAGAGGTGTATTACCTTCCCTGTCTTCTTTTGCAGAGTTTAGGGGGGGGTCTCCATTTTGTCCTTTCTTTCCCTTCCACCAGGAAACTCCTACACATCCTTCAAGACCCATCTCGAATGTCCTGGGAATCCTTCCTTCTTTTCCTCATTTGTTCCCATCTTGCTCTGTCAGCGCATTTATCCTATTATATTGTAATTATGAGTTTGCGCCTTCCCTTAAATGATAAACGATATCTTGAATTTTCCAAAGTCTCTACTGTTCTTCAAAAACTTCATTTAAATACTATGATATCATAAGGATGTACCATAAGGTATTTATATAATCCAGATTGGATACTTAAGTTGTTTCTAGCCGTTTGATAGTGTAATAACCTTGTAACGAAAATTCCTATCTATAACTCTTCAAATAAATCTCTTCCCTACCCCCCTTGAGGTGGATTCCTGGACGTGGAATTATTGGGTCAAAGAGAATTTTTTAGAGACTCCTGATCCATGTTGCTAACTTTCTTCCCAGAAAGATCCCCAAAGTGCCAATTTACATCCCTACCCGCCAGGCTCGAAAGCGCCAAGCTCCACCTGGCCGCGCTTCCTGTGATCTCCTACAGGAGGCAGTGTTTGCACCACTTCTAATTTACCGCTTTGTAATGTTTTCTTTACAGAGGAGCACTCAATAGCTCCCATAGCATGTAATTTGAAAGAGCTTTAATGTTTCAGTAGTTTTTCTCTGCTACACCTCGTGTGGCTTTTATCACTCTCTTCCCTTTATTACAGTTGTTTGCGCACATTTGCATCGCCTTCTAGGTCTTAAGTGGCAAATCAGTCTTCCATCCCAAGAGATGTGAGCCATCTGAGTAAACTAAGGAGTCCATGGGCAATAGGCACAATGACCAGGGAATTAACCAACTTCTTTCTGTAGATCTGTGATCGCTGTAGGGGTGGGGATGAAAAGCTTTGGCATCAACCTCCCAGTTCATAGGTTCTGGGTCGGAGGAGTTTATAAGTTAGTCCCCTAAAGGAAAGGAGCTGAAACTGATATATATTTTTTTTCCTGTGAGGGTTTGTACTATGATAAATTTCCCTAGCTAACTCCCAACTTTTCATCACGAACATGGGATGGCAGAACTAGCAGAACAACCCAGGTTGTTTCTTTACTAGTGCTGGGAAGACGGCAGAAGGCACTAGAAGTGCAGAGCACTTACAGTGAATTCCTTGCCTCAGTCTATAGGCCCAGCCTGGTCTGGCCCCTGCCTCTCATGCTAGCTCTGCCAAGCACCACTGTTTTGCCTGCTCTGGTCTCAGCTGCACTGGTTTTCTGTCAGTTCTTTGAAGACACCCTGTTCCCTCCTATGTCAAAGGCCTTTGGCCACGCTGTTCCCTCTGCCTGGAGGACTCCTCCTCAGGCTGTCCACTAGCTGACTTTTCATCCTTCTAGGATCTCAGCTTCATGTCTCCTCCCATAGGTCTTTAAATTTGGAGTTCTGCTTCTCTCTCCTCACCTCATAACACCCTTACCACGATTTGTGAATATATGTTTCTTTGTGTGTTGATTTGCTTAAGGTCTGCCTTCCCCAGTACAAAGTGAACTCTCTGAGGGACCTTGTGGGTTTGCTTACCATCTTTCACCCAGCACCTAGACCCATGCCTGGTTCACAGCATGTGAATTAATGATTTGTTGAAGGATCTGCAGCAGAGGGAGCCTTCGGTTGGTCCAATGAAGGCCTAGAGGTTGGGCCCTGGCAAGAATTCCCTAGAGGAGCACTTAGCTGGGGAGTTGGACCACTAGAGACCGTTCTCTCTCCTATGGTCCCAAACAAGAAGAGGCATAAGGGGTTAAGAGAAGGTGGTAGGGGAGATAGTAACGGTGATTTGGAGCTCCTTGCTTCTTGTTTGTCTTCATCTTCCTTCAGTTCCTAACACAGTTCCTGAGATATTGTAGGTGCTCAATGAATGTCGGCCGGTTGAATGAATAAGCAAACATTGTGTCTTTTCAGAGGCACCGTAACCTAATAATCTGCTTTGATTCTCAGCAGCTATGAGAGGTGGTGTGATCCCATTCCTGCTTCATAGAAGTGAGCCCAGAGAAAGAGGACAAATTACGTTATTCTCTGGAAGAGTTAGTAAACATCTTCCACATCTTGCCAGAGGCTCCAGAATGTTATTACTTCTTATCATTGCTCTCTGACATTATAATTAATTCTAATCATAGTCTGTGGCTCTTGAAATTAGCTATTATCTTTAAGTCTTCTGAGCCTTTAGTCTGAATGAAAGGACACAGCAGGCAGTAGGCTACAGACATGGAAAGAGAGGGCAGGCAAGTTAGCCTGGCATCCTTTGGCTAGAGGCTCTCCACTTTGCCTTCACCTAGAAACAGACCCCATCTGGCTCTGTTTCTATGTACACAGTCTCTTCTGACACTAAGCACAGTACTCGGAAGAACACACAAGCCCAGAATCAGAAGCCCTAGACCTTGGTTTTGGCTCTGTCTCTAATGAGCCGTGTGATCCTGAACAAGTCACTTAATCTCTGAGGCTCTTTTTCCTTTTCTGTAAAAACCTGTGCCATTCCACAGGGTTGATGTCAAAACTAAATTCGATTTGGTTGTAAGAAAAAAAAAAAAAAAACGGAGAAAATAACTATGCTGAAGAATGATTTCAGGACAAAACCTTTTCTACAATCATTTGCCCTCAAGTCACTGATCTTATAGTTTACTATCTCACAGTTTGGTCTCTCCTGGAGAAAACCAAGAAGCATCCCTTATTTACCCACAAACAGCTAAGGTTTTAGTCATATAGCCAGAATACACATATACAGACAGCAGACATTGGCATATTTATACCCAAAATATCATGCTCTGGAGCATATGCAGTGGGAGAGAGAGATCATAATTTGTCATACCCAACCACTAGGTTCTAGAATTACATAGTTTTTGAGTTGGAAAGGAACTCAGAGGCTTAACTCTCATCTAATGCCTTTGTTGTGTAATTAAGGAAATTTTGGCCCAGAGAGAAGGAATGACCTGCTCAAAGTCAACCAGTGAGGTCCAGACCTAAGTCTTCTTCTTCTTTTTTTTTTTTTAAAGATTTTTATTTATTTATTTGACAGAATCACAAGTAGGCAGAGAGGCAGGCAGAGAGAGAGAGAGAGGAGGAAGCAGGCTCCCGCTGAGCAAAGAGCCCGATGTGGGGCTCGATCCCAGGACTCCGGGATCATGACCCGAGCGAGTCAAAGGCAGAGGCTTTAGCCCACTGAGCCACCCAGGCGCCCCTGGACCTAAGTCTTCTAAGTTAAGATTCTATGTCATGTCTGCTCCTTATACACACCAGCTCCCTTCTCACTTTAAAGTTGAGGTCTAGGGGTGCCTGGGTGGCTCAGTCAGTCGGGCGTCTGACTCTTGGTTTCGGTTCAGGTCATGACCTCAGTCAGGTTCGTGGGATTGAGTCCCCAATCGAGATCTTGTGTTAAGTGGGGAGTCTGCTGGAAGATTCACTCCCTCTGCCCCTCTCCCACATTCAAATAAATAAGTAAAAATAAATCTTTAAAAAAAAATAAAGTTGAGGTCTAGAGACAGACCAAAGCTGTAGCTGATATCCACCTCCTTTCATGATGTCAGGTAATGTCCTGCTCTCCCTCTGTCCAGGTGCAGGACACTCACTACCTATGACAAGACGTCACTGGCCCGGTTTGTTTGCCTGTCCTCCACCGGGCAGACATCTCAGAGTGGGAGGTGGAGGGCTTCCAGCCAGAGAGGTGGCCGCATACCCCTGTCCTCTCTTACCTGCAACCCCAGATTTCAGAGCTAAGG